GCCGGCGCGCCCCCCAGCCGCTCCTCCCCAAGCCTGGAGCGCTGCGTGGGGTTGTTGTGACCCAAGGGCAGGACCCGGCCCTTGGTCTTGTTGAGCCTCACACAACTGGCCTCGGCTCATCAATCCAGCCTGTTTTTTATCCACCCCCCAGGCAGAGCTCCATAGATTCCAGTTGCTCCCTCACATAAAGAGCAACTCCACCACCTCGCCTTGTTGGTCTGTCTTTCCTGTAAAGCCATCTATGACAGCATTCAGACTGGTGGTCAAATGCATGTGACAGTTCATGGGGGGCTTTACTCCTCACAGGAGCCAGGCCTTCCTCAAGCCAGTGCTTCACAGGGCCCACAAGTTCTTCTGCTCCAGTCTCTCTCTCACGCGGAGATGTCCTAGCACACCCGTCAAGTCTAGCTCAGAAAGCAGAGGGTGCAGTTCTGGCTCAGCATGGCAGGGACAGGGACCAGGGCACTGCCCTGAACATGCTCAGCCTTTGCCTGTTTCTTCCTTCTGCCTGTGAGGTATTCATTTGTCTTTTTTTCACCATATTTAGCATGCAAACCACAGAAAAGTTGGTTGCTTGCTGAGCTTTCCCATTCTCTCACCTCTCTCTAGATTGTCTCGACAACTGTGAAAGGAGCGCAGCAGAGGATGGAGAGCAAGCCAGCGGTGAACGGCCATGCTGCCCCCATCTCTCCCCAGGAAGACAAGCCAGGAGCAAAGCACTTGTACGAGGACATACTGCCTTGCAAACAGAAAAAAGCAGTTGGCGGGGAGGTGACGGTGATGGATGCTTCTAGTCAGCCCTCGGAGGCAGCTGGCAGCATTGCTGGAGTATATGTAGAGGCTTTGAAGAAGACAATGAGCTTTTATGATGCCACCACAGAGCATCTTCTGAGTTTGGATTCAGCACTCTGTCTTCTCGAGGCCCAAGCAGCCACGGGCTTCATCATCGACCCGGTGAAGAACAGGCACGTTTCTGTAGCAGAAGCTGTGCTGCTGGGGCTGGTGGGGCTGGAGCTGAAGGAAAGGCTGCTCTCTGCAGAGAGAGCTGCTACTGGCTTCGTGGACCCCTACACAGAAGAGAAAATCTCCCTCTACCAGGCAATCCAGAAGGACCTGATTGGGAGGGAGCAAGGTACTCGGCTGCTAGAGGTCCAGATTGCAACTGGAGGGTTTCTGTAGCAGAAGCTGTGCTGCTGGGGCTGGTGGGGCTGGAGCTGAAGGAAAGGCTGCTCTCTGCAGAGAGAGCTGCTACTGGCTTCGTGGACCCCTACACAGAAGAGAAAATCTCCCTCTACCAGGCAATCCAGAAGGACCTGATTGGGAGGGAGCAAGGTACTCGGCTGCTAGAGGTCCAGATTGCAACTGGAGGCATCACTGACCCAGCCACTGGCTGGCGGTCCCAGCCCCTCGCTGCCGGCTCCCAGCAGATGTTGCCTGTGAGAGAGGATATTTAGATGAAGAGATGAGACAATTCCTCTCTGACCCCAATAACGAGGACAACAAAGGGTTCCTCAACCCCAGTACTATGGAGAGGGTCACTTATAAGGAGCTTATAAAGAGGTGTGTTGTTGATCCAGTCACTGGCTTCCTCCTCTTTCCCCTACAAATCACATTCCAAGGGCTGGGAGGGAGGGTGAGCAGCAGGGACCTGCTGGACTCTGGCATCATCAGCCCTGACACGTTCAGAGGTCTTGAGGAGGGAAGAGTTTCTGCCCAGGAGGTAGCAGAGAATGACTCCGTTCAGCAGTTCTTGCATGGGACGAGGAGCGTGGCTGGTGTTGTCCTGCCTTCCGGTGAGCGGAAAAGCCTTTACCAGGCACTGAGAGAACATCTCCTCATGCCCGGTGCTGCTCTTATGCTCCTGCAAGTCCAGGCCTCCACCGGCAGCCTGACAGACCCCGTAAAGAACAAAACCTACTCAGTTGATGAGGCTGTCAGAGTCGGTCTCATCGGCCCAGAGCTTCACGAGAAACTGTCTTCAGCTGAGAGGACCATCACTGGATACAGGGACCCTTACACTGGAGAAATGCTCTCTCTGTTCCAAGCCATCAAGAAGGGCTTTATCCCCAAGGATCACGGCATTTGCCTTCTGGAGGCTCAGATGGCCACAGGAGGTATAATTGCTCCAGGCAGGCACCTCCGTGTCCCCACAGAGACAGCTTGCAAGTGGGGGTACCTGGACGAGGCCACAAGACAGCTGCTCTCCAGTCCTACTGATGACATGAAAAGGTTCTTTGACCCCAACTCCAAGGAGAATCTGATCTACGCAGACCTGCTCAAGCGCTGTGTCACTGATCCCAACACGGGGCTCCTTCTGATGCCACTTGGTGGAGACAGTAGAGAAGGATCCGAGGGAGCCCACCTCTTTTTTGACCACAGGACCCAAACAACTCTGGAAAACACACAGGTACCCATTGCTTTAGGTAAATTCAAGGGAAAGTTGGTGTCTCTCTGGAAGCTCCTCTTCTCAGACTACATCCAGAGTGAGCAAAGAGCTGCTCTCACCCAGCAGTACCTTGCAGGAACGCTCTCTACGCAAGAATTGGGCAAGGCAGTCAGTGCCACCGTTGAGGAAATGGCTTCCACTGCTAATGTCACCTTTGAAGGACTGAGGGACCGAGTGACAGCTGACCAGCTCCTGAGCTCTGAAATCATCAACAAAGATTTGTTTAAGAAACTGAAGGAGGGAGAAACATCAGCCAAAGAAGTTGTCAGCATGGACACTGTCAAAAAGTACCTGCAAGGGACTGGTAGCATCGGTGGGCTCCTACTTCCTGACTCCCAGGAGAAGATCAGCATCTACCAGGCAAAGCGGAAAGGACTTTTAAGGCCAGGAACATCACTGATCCTCCTGGAGGCACAGGCTGCTACTGGATTTATCATTGACCCAGCTGCCAACAAAAGGTATTCTGTGGATGAGGCGTTAAGAGCGAACGTCATTGGCCCGGATGTTTATGATAAGCTACTGACTGCAGAGAAATCCGTCACTGGCTACAGAGATCCCTACTCAGGGAATAAGATCTCCCTCTTCCAGGCCATGAAGAAGGAGCTCATTGTCAGGGAGCATGCTATCCGCCTGCTCGAGGCCCAGATCGCCACCGGCGGCATCATCGACCCCGTCAACAGCCACCGCATCCCCGTGGAGGTGGCCTACCGCCGCGGCTACTTTGACAAGAAGATGAACTTAATCCTTTCTGATCCCACTGATGACACCAAGGGCTTCTTCGACCCCAACACCCACGAGAACCTTACCTACCTGCAGCTGAAGGAGAAGTGCATCACAGAGCCATCCACCGGGCTCTGCCTCCTTCCTCTGAACAGCAGGAAGCGCCAGTTCATTGACGACGCCACCAGACGGGTGTTCAGGAGCTCCTGGCTGCCGGTCAGGTTTGGGCGGTTCCGACGGGAGCAGCGCTCGGTGGGGGAACTGCG